TGTCATAAAAAAATCGGATATGAGTCAGATGGGTCAAAAAAATCGGATTTGGGTCGGATTTGCCTGCAGTGTGAACGTAGCCCTAGATTAAATGTTAGTTTGAGCTGAGTTTTTTTAAAGTGTGATCTTTTGCAGAAAAAAATGGCGAATACCGCCTTGTCAGTATCACAATATATCGCGATTTATCATTGTGACCCCGTGTCATGATTTGTATCATTTCACTAAATTCTTGCCAATACACAGCCCTGATAATTTAACTCCTGCAACACAGTATTTCAGTTATATTCCAGAAAATACTGGCTTTTATTGTGGGAGTACTTCAGAACAAAATCTGTCACAATTTACTCCCGTGTATCAATTTATTCCCGTGTATAACACGATCTACTTTTTTTATGGATGTTTTTAGAGGATATGTTTTTTTGCATTATTCACACTTAAATACGGTATATTTATGTTTGTTCTAAGTACTGGAGGTGCGGTGAGGGGGATTATGGTAGGCAGGGTGCTTGGTTGTGCTGACAGGGCAGGGCACCCTCCTTGGTTAACAGTAGGAGAAACACTGAGTAGATATGAACACTGCTAGACTATTCAACAAACTAGAAGTAGGCATGAATATATCTAGACCACAATGCATTGCAAATTACTGCTTAGCGTGTGCATTAGTATTTGTTAAACTTCAAAATGTCTGAACTATTGCTTTAAGAGTGTGCCGGCTGCTGGTTCATCTCTTTTTCTGTTCCTCTGTGTGTGTGCTGTTGCTCAGGGGGGGAGGGCAGCATACTGGGAGCAGCGGCAGCGGTCATCGGCGTGGGCTCGGACATCGGTGGCAGCATCCGCATGCCCTGTTTTTTTAATGGGATATTTGGTCATAAACCCACTCCAGGTAAGAGAAGCTGCAGACTGCGTCTCTGTATGAACTGTGCTGCTTCATATAAAACATTTTAGATCTGAAAGCCCAAAACCACATGACACAGTAGCCGTGTTTCCATCCAATTTTAATTGGAGTTTTGAGCAAACTTTTAAAATGTTTCAAAAAGAAAAGAAGAAATTGGCTTGGGGTGAATCAACCAGGCTACACAAAATAATTTCGTCAGACGTTGACGTTACACATGGCTGTAGTAAACAGGAAGTAAAATCGGAAGCTCACAGGGATACACATCTCAGGACAATGGAGAGACGTTATCAGGAAAGTGTTGCTACTATCGGGACAGTTGTAAATATTCTGTCATTTAAACTAGTACTGGCGACGTTACGGAAAGCTACAGCCGCGGCTGATGCCGGTACCAGACATCCAGCGGGACCAGCTTGTCAACCAGCTGAGGTAAATGTTCGTTATGTCAGAACTTATTCGGCAAAAGTGTTTTTGAAAAATCCCAAAACCACCTCAAGCGAGCGTAAAACCTTTTTTTTTTTTTTGCAAAATAGAGAAGATTTTTTGAATGGTGCCATTTCCATTCACCCTTTCCTAACGCGATACTTCAAAATGCGCAGAAAAAAGCGTTGAAGGAAACACTGCTAATAATGCTGATAACTGGTAATGATCCCGTCACGTGTTGGAGACTAGCTGAGAACATGGAAGAGCATTTCAGAGCGAAAGACTCGTATGTTTGACACTGAAATRAGAAAGCATTCAAAATAATATATTTTATTCTCGTTTTTGCTACACATATTTATTCTTATTCTGATTTAATCCTGTGTGAATCAACACTATTTAAAAGCTCAATTTCTGGTCTATCCGTGTTTATTTAAAAGGACAATTTCCAGCTTCAAATGGCAGATGACGTTAAGTTTATATTGGTCTCAGCKAAACAAGGACTGATACTGTGGGACTGTTTAAGTGCTGTTTTCTACAGACAGCTGAGGGAAAAATCAAAGGATTTTATTGGCTGTATTTGCTCGTTTTTTTGTTACGACATAATTAATAATACAAGGATAGGTTTATTATAATTTATAATAAAACCTGTATTTCTTGGGTATTATCCCATTCTTCTATTAAAAACAAAACAAAGCAAAAAAATGTAAATTTTCTAGGTTTTAGTACACTTTTTAAAGGCTCAGGCCTAAAAGAGTATGGATCAGAACTGGTGCTGTGTCTCAGGTGTGGTGTCCTGTGAGAACCAGTACCCTCCAACCTCTGGCAGACAGGAGGAGTACGTCAGCTCGGGTCCCATGTGCCGCTACGCTGAAGACCTGCTGCCCATGCTCCGGATCATGGCAGGACCCAACGCTGACAAGTAAGATCTCAGCTGGTCTCATCAGTTATTTCTTATTTCAGTATATTASATAGGGGTCCTACACTGTTTTAAAATGTATGGAATTTATTTATAGTATTTTTCAGCTCTGAATAAGTATAGTRAGAAGAGAAAGTGAGAAAATTTTGTTTCTTCTTGGTAATATTTAAAAATAATGTACAAAGGGCTTTATGAAAATGTTAAACACACTGTAAAGGACTTTAGCTGCGACAATAAAGACAATAAAATACTGATTACCATGCAAATGTACAAATATTATCAGTTCTTTAACGGGCACATGACTGAGTAGTGGTTAGAGTTGCCGCCTCACTGCAAAAAGGTTGCAGGTTTGTTTCCTGGCCATAAGGTTTAGATGTTCTCCCTGTGCTGTGCAGCTGAACGAGAGACTTCATGATTCTGATGTGATTAAAAATATTTAAACATTTTATGTAGATGTTTTATCTCTAAATATTGAGAATTTTTTAATTCAGAATTTAAAGTTATCCTTGATCAAACAAGATTTTCTTGAAAGTCTTACTGGTGTAGCAAGTCGGGGTGTGTCAGAATTCAGGTTAGGCTTGTTAGACAGACCTTTGGTCCTGTTTGAGTAAAGAACCAAACCCTGAAGGTGCTTGTTCAGCTGTGATCTTGGATACAATCATCGGTCTAATTCCTTTCATGTTTTACACACAGGCTGTCCTTAAGCACAAAGGTGGATTTGAAGAAGCTGCGGTTCTTCAGCATTCCTCACGACGGCGGCTCTGTCTACACTCACCCTGTCAGCAAAGAGCTCCTGGACATTCAGAAGCAGGTGTCTGATTTTAATCTGCATATAAAGTCCTGAGTGTGCAGAAGTCTTCATCACCAGGTTTGTTTTCTCAGACTTGAAGTCTGCATGTGGTGCTCTGCAGGTGGTGGAGCATCTGGAGGAGGATCTTGGAGTGAAAGTCCAGCAGGTGTGTTTACCTGAGCTGCGCTATGGCTTCCAGATCTGGGACACGTACATGGGTCTTCCTGACAAGGATGGTAAAGTAAGTCCACCTGACTGCTTGAATCTTAAGCCACCAAACGCTCTCTGCTCATCTTATCAACTTTATTAAAACAAAAAAAGGGGCGGGGCACACCCTGTACAGGTCACAAGTCCATCACAGACACAATCATTCACTCTCTCACAGGCACAATTCAGAGTTACCAGTTAACCTAACAGTTATGTTTTAGGTCTGTGGAGGAAACTGGAGTACCCAAAGAACCCCCCACACAGAGAAAATGCAAACTCTACCCAGAAAGGTCTGTAGGCCGGGGTTCAATCCGACAACCTTCTAACTGAGAGGCAACAGCTCTGCCAACTGTGCCGCCCACAGTCTGAATCGATCCCAATAAGCAAAGCCAAAGTTTTAAATGAAGCTCTTAAGCAGTCATGTAGCTGTCAGAGTATGTGTTGTAGATGACTCTCAGCCACTATGTCAGATTTTAGCTCAGCGTTGGTAAAATGGAGGGATTTATAACCAAGTTAGCCGTGACAAAAACCCAGGAAGAGAAGGAAACGGGTAGAAATCAGTTTGTTCCTTTAGTTAACAGGTTCTCTGTTTCATTAGATGTGTTGCAGCTGAAACAGTCCAGGTCTCAGTCAAAGCTCTTATTGTAGTCTGCTGTCCAGAAATAATCCCAAATCTGTTTAGCTGAAAGCAAGTACATACCACACACACACACACACACACACACACACACACACACACACACACACACACACACAC